AAAAGGACTTTAAGAATCCCATTCACCTGATGAAGTGGGTTTTAGCCCATGAAAGCTTATGCCCAAATAAATTTGTTAGTTTAAGGTGCCACAAGGACTCCTCGTTGTTTCTGCTGATACCGACTAAAACAGCTACCCCTCTAAAACATAAGGATGAGATTGTTTGTTTTGATCAGGTACAATCTCACCACCGATGCATTTCCCCCAAATTTCCACAGTGCACTGTCCAAAGGAACAGGAACTCCAACCCAGGCCTGAATAGTCTGCAGGGAATACGACACAGACATATTCCATCCAGCTGGAATTGTCTACAACAACACCACCAAGATTACAAGCATCCATTTAAAACATCTGTCAGTTTAGTCATTAATCTGAAGAAAGTGGCAGGCCCACTAGTCATCCAAAGCATCACTGAATTCTCAAAGAGGCACTCTTACAGAGAAAATAATCTTTCAGTCTTCTTCCTAAAATGGTACTTGCCAGAATTTACTAGCCAGATCCATAGTGTGGAAGAGAATTGGACACCCCTGAATTGGTCCAAAATATCAGGTCAATCAAAACGTGACTTTCTGAAACAGATCTATACCTGGCCTTGAGAAGGCCTTTTTCTTTAAACATGACATTTTAGCAGCCAATTAGCACCTAAATCATTAACACCCTTGATCACCTAGCTGCTTGCATTCCAGAGATCAATTAGTGCTATTAGGACACCTAATCAAATGCTATGTAAATACAGAACATAGGCCTTGTTCTCTGTGTGCAATGGGGAAATCTCTGCAAAAGAATTCATGTTTCTTGGAACATTTGGAAAAAAGATTGAAAAAAACTGCAAGTTACATTTAAGTTTGTAGCAAGGAATGTCACAATGACTCAAGACAAGCTAAAAAAAGAGGAGACATTGCTTCCCCTACAGACAAGCAGGTCCAGCACAGAATAAAGGAAAACTATTAAAAACCTAAAGAAATGAATCCTGGAACAAAGAAATGCTTGAATGAAGGCACATCAGTTTCAAGTATAGGGTCAAAGCTAAAACCACTTCAGTTTATCCAATTTAAGATGAGCCATCATGGCTAGTAGGTGTTGTTGACTCTATTCAGCCCAGGGCCAGCTCTAGGTTTTTTGCCACTCCAAGCAACAACAAAAAAAAAAAAAAAGTTGCCCCCCCCACCCCTGGGCTCTTCCTCCCCCCACCCCCACCCCCCGCACCTCCTGCTGCCCCAGCCCTGGGCTTCCACCCCACCCACCTCCCCACCAGTGCTGGCTCTGCCCACTCCCCCCTTGCTTCCAGCTGGTCTGGTGCTGGCAGGGTTGGGATAAGCAGCGGGGCTCCCGG